GATACTTCTAAAATATATTAGGATATAGAAACAGAGTTCAACAACATACTCCTCCGTGCAAAGACGGGTCTCAATAATTTTTGAATAACACATGGCTAAGCTAATCATTTAAATAATATCACCTTATAGATAGTTTACTCAAAAAATTAATAATTTTATATGGAATAAGATACAATAAAAAAATTCAGTTTTCATCACAGGAATGCAACTTAATATAACTTGATTTTTCCAAAAATGTAGTTGAACTTATGTGTGAATTTTTAGATAGCTATTTGATATCTATACATATGAGATATATATTTCAAAATAACAAAATATTTATTTCGAAATAATTAAATGTTATTTAAATTAGTCACTATTTTAAAAATGTAAAATAAGTCTAAAATAAAAAAATAATTAATAATTTTTAAAGATATATGCTATCCAAGTTGAGCTAATAGCTAAACATTACACTGTACCTTATATTCAATTAACATCTTTTGAAATTCTGCACCCCGGGTACTATGATTTACTACATCCAAGGCCCTGATTAAGAAACAATCCGTAAATCTATAATTGCCGCAGAAAAAAAAATATTGGATAATATTTTTAATAAAAAATTATTTTTAATGGCTTAAGGTTTTTCAATTCTTTCATTAAAATTTTTTATTTGATCGTTATTAATTAACAAAAATTATAAATTTTATATTTTTAATTTCATTTTTTCTAACGCAATAATAGATTAGGTAAATGCCCTTGCGGATTCCTTCTGTTTGGTATCTTGGGTATAGTAAATCATATTACCCAGAATACCTAATTTCAAAATACATTACTGGATATAAGGGATTGGCTATTAGCTAAACTTGGATACTATATATCTTTAAATATCAATTGCGTTAAAAAAATGCAACTTATGATTGATTTTTTTTTAATTAAGACTTAGATTCAAATATGTTTAAAACAGCGACCAATTTAAATAAAATAAAATTATTTTTTTACACTATTTTTGTTACTTTGATCCTTTTAATTCTATTTTTAATCTTAATAAGAGAGGGAAGGTATGACTGAGTCGATCACAAGTGTGATGCGCTCTGTCTCGAGTTTGAAACTCGGTCACGAGAGGCTTTATTTTTCGAGCAAAACATCAGTTCGGTAATTGGAGTCGCCATCCTTCTCTCCGGTGACTAACTAACCACCCGTCCCAGAATATCNAATTGGAGTCGCCATCCTTCTCTCCGGTGACTAACTAACCACCCGTCCCAGAATATCAATGATAAAGATATCTTCTCCTTTAACGGAGGGGAGGCCGCTATGGCCCTTAATGGACTTAAAAAAGCGTAAAAAAACTGTTTAGTNAGGGGAGGCCGCTATGGCCCTTAATGGACTTAAAAAAGCGTAAAAAAACTGTGGGATTAAATTTTTTTCTTATATTTCTATTTAAAATTATATCTTTATGAGCAGCTGTGATAGCTCTTATTGATGATTTAGTACAAATAATATGTCGAACTAAAAAATATGTGAATAAATCATTCGAAACGGTGTTGAGAATTAAGTTTTGAAAAATTAGTCATTTTTTCTATACAGTGTGATCAATTTGGGTACTATCCGAGAAATTAATGAAAATGATTAACTTTTATAAAGGAAAAATCATTTGGTTATTATAACTTCACAATAATATGTTTTCAAATAAGTTTTTAACTTTTTAAAAACTATTTTGAACTAGATAATATGTTATATAAACAATTTTGTTCTTATAATTTCTCTTATCCGACCAGTCACTCATGTATTGCAGCAACTTAAGTAAAATTTTTTTCTTTTATATTTCATGTTTTGCATCTTTTATATTTAACACAAGTTATTAACATACATTGATGGCAATCCGTGCGGACAATTTTTATTGATAATTATCATAAAAAATAATTCATAGCCTATTAAAACAAATATGCTACTGGCATTAAAAAACTAAACTAATTATGGAATATTATTTAAAATCCGAAATTTAAAATATTATAACGCAATAAAATCAAATAAAAATTATTAATAATTTTAATTTTAATAATTAATTTTTTTCTACATAATATTATCAAGTTAAAAATAATGGTTTCCATTTAAGAAAATTAAAATTAAGATTTTTTTTTTATCGCTAAAGAGACAAAAAAAATGACTTCACTATATATTACTATAGTTTTTCAATACCAATGATTTTTTTCTTACTAAAAATAAAAAAATTTCATTAGTTCTTTTACAACAGAAAACGAGTGCCTTTTATAAAATAAAGTATTCTGTATAATACATGTTTTTGATAATTTACGTTTTCTTAAATTCTCTGATAAATACAAGCACTTTTAGTGTCGTTATAATTAAGTGTACAAACGAGAAAACTATACAAAATAAATAGATGCTTTTTGTACAAACACTATGAAATGTCACAGGAAAAAAAATTATTATATTAAACAAACTATATTATTGCGTCATCTTAACATTTTATTAAGCGCTTATAATAATAGCAATCCTCGTAATTTCTTATAAAAAAAGAATATGTTATTCTAAATCCTTAGTTAAGATTAATACAAGTATAACAGTAAATTAATCACTAAGTTTTTTTTTTATATATTTCTGCATAAAAAAATGAAATCCAAAATTTTAGTTTTTGTTATCAACTTTTGTTATATTATTATTACACTAGCTGATACTAATAAAAAAGAAGAAAGTTTAATCACGGTAATTTTGTAATGTATATAAATTCTTTTTTTAGTAATATTCCTTACCTTAATATTTATACAACATAATATTAATATAATTTTTCAAATATTAATAAATATTCATTCTATTAATTAATTAAGGTAACTTAAGAGAAACAGGCGACTTCCATCCCTCCCTTTAGTAAATCATTAGACATAATTGGTATTTATTTATTTAATATATAAGTATTAAATATACACAGTTTTATAACCTAAATAAGTAAACTGCCGTTTAGTATTCTGTGGCGTAGATACGATTATTTATTAAGATAATAGGTCTGTGCACCATTCTCTCTTAAGACGCCTTACTGGATTGCCAGGCAAGGCGTTTGCGCTCAGCATTTGAATTAAACTGTTGGGGTTGGATTCAAGTTTCATCCAGAATCTTTTATAATATAATCTTGTCATTTCTTTAATTGTGTTGAGATGGAGGTATAAATGTAGGGCCATGTTTGTGACGTACCAGGGCGCCCCGGTTATGATTCTTAAGCAGATGTTTTGGAAACTTTGGATTGTTCTCTAGTTAGAACTTTTTGCTGGAGTCCAAATTATTATGCCATAAGACCATAGTCTTATAGGTTGGAGTAATGTTTTGTACAATATAATTTTATTTGACAAAGAAATATTTGACTTAAGTAAAGGTCTTAGTAAATGAAGTCTCGAGTTCAGTTTTTTCCTTTTTTCTTTTAAATGAGAACCCCAGGTTAACCTTCGTCAAAAATTAACCCTAGGTATTTAACATCGGTTGAATGAGGAATAATAATGTTATTAATAGTAACTAATGGGCAGTCATATTTTTTAAGAGTGAATGTAATGAAAGAAGATTTTGACTCATTTATTTTGACACGCCAGGTCTTGAACCAGAGCGAAAACATATTTAGATGTACTTGTAACTGTTGACTGGCAACTTTATGATCTAATGAAGATGATATTAAGGCCGTGTCATCAGCATAGGTACTGTTGCATCCGATAAAGGTAGATCAGAAGTTTAATAATAATAATAATGATAAAAAATAATTTTAAATCGTACTCTACTTTATTTATAAATAATTTTTTTTTTTTGTTCTTACACCCCCTAAACCTCCCCTGTATCTATGTCACTGAGTGTTGTTTTAATTGATCTTATTCAATTAAGCTAGACATTTCAGGAATAGCAAAAAACATCTTTGTTGCTATTATTTGCAGGCATAACTAGTTAAAAAATTTTGAGTTTTATCAGCGCGATTGTATCAATTATTGTGTTATAAAATTTAAAACCCTAAACATTTTTTTACTATAGTTAAAATACTTATTACTACTACTAACTCTCTTTGTCTGATTAGCCGCCTTATTATATCGCAAAACCAACCTGATTAGAGCTTCGCCCCGTTTAACGAAATTGCACAGTCTATCTATTGGACTACCGAGTACCTGCAGTGAACTCACTCTCCGGTTTCTGATGTCTGACATCTTACGCCTTCTTTCTAATATCCGAGAGTTATTATGTACATTATACAAAAATGTAAACATTTGTATTTTGAAATTTTTTGTTAGTGTCGCTACCTTTGTTATCAACGGTTGTTGATATCGCCAATCGGAAAGTATAGTAACAACTCAAATATTTTAATTTTTCTGACATTTGGAGAAATATAACGATCGACCCTAAGTAGTTGGGATTAAGTCGAAGAAAAAGAAGAAGATTTCGACAAATATAAATACAAAGACTAAATTTTAAACTAGAAAAGTACTCTCTTTCCACTACACCACTTTATTAACTATCAGTCAATGTTATGAAGTTACACTCTCGCCTGGTATAACTTTACAATCTTTTACTCGCTTTACACTCATATTTCTATATAAAATAATCAATCTGTGATTTATTACTCCTACTCTCATAAATTATATAATGTTCTTCTCTTTTTCTAAAAAAGTATTAACCACAAAAAGATCATACAATACTGCGTAATCTAAGATTCTTTATTCAGCCTCATTCTTCCCACTAAAACCATACCCTCCGTGTAATTTTTCATATCCTCGCCACTTATTACCGACATAACAATTCATATCTTTACCTATTATCGTATTCTCTTTACCAGGTATTCCTTGTATCATCTCATCCATCTCTCTCTAAAACATTTCCTTGTCTATTTCAAAAATAAATTATTTCAATAAAATTATAATTTATATTTTTGAAATAAAATTTCATCACATCCTACTCGTGGTGCATAGGCACTTACTACATTAAACAATTTTTTCTCAAAAATCAATTTTATGTCTATAATTCTGTAACTTTTCCTTACTACTTTATTTTTCATCTCCTCATCTATTAATATCCTTGCACCATTCTTTATATTGGTCTTACTATTATACAATCCAAATGTTTATATCCTTTTATAAAAGAGACATTTTACCAACAGGATTAAAATCATTATAATTTAACTAATAATTATTTTTAAGGGACTAAAATTACAGACAAGATATACAAAATTAACGGATTTATATCATCGTTGCATCGATGATACTGGGTGTAATATTAATGAATCAACATTGAAGGATGAAATTAATAGTATTGGAATATCAATTACTGATGAGGAAGCAAAAAAATTGCTATCGAGATTAAATTGTTAAGTATTTACATTGTTTTATGATAGAATAATAAATTTAAAAATAAATAATTTTGCGTGTTAGTAGGTAAAATTTAGTATATTTTGTATAAAAGTCTGCTGTAGTTTATTTTAATCGTAAATGTTAAAAATATTTTCCGTTAACTACTTCTTTTAATAGCATATAAAAATCAATGCAGGTAGTTACAAAAAAAATAAATATAAATATTCATAAATACAATGTTTAATTGATGTATTAACTTATTCTTTATATTAATTCACAAAAAAAAAAAATTTAAGCAAATGAACAGATAGTTAAATCATTCTTATCAAAAAAAATAGTATTGCTAAGTGGACTAATATATTATTAAATAAAGTTTAATTTATTTTAATTAAAAAATTATTTAACTAGAATACAATTAAAATAAACTATAGAATAATTTGAGTTAACAACAAATTATCTCTTTTTTAGAAAAATTAGATGTCTATCAATTTCATAATGAAGCAAATAATTTACTATAAAACATTATTAAATAATTTATGTCACTTTATTTACGCAGTCTCTTTTTAATAAAACCAAAGCACAGTTTTTTAACATTAAAATTAACAGAAAAAGTTGATAATTATTTTATTCATTTTAGATAAATTTGAACACAAAATTTCATTTGAACAGTTCAATACTGAAATATATAGTTTTGTTCCTGAATCACAACATAATTTTGAAAAAAATAAGGAATCCTCATTTGTCATGTTAAAAGGAATATTTATGTATTTTTCATCTGGAAATGAACAGATTACTAGATCAAAAGTTGCTGAATTAATGAAATTGATAGATGAACAAATGAACGAAACTGAACTAGATGAATTCATGAAGAACTTAGGTGCTGATAAAGAAGGCCCATTAAAATATGAAAGTAATAAAATTATAATTTATATTTTAATTATTTTTTTTTTCACAATATAAAAAATCTATCTAAAAAGTATATAATGATATTAGACATTATTCCTTATATTATGTTTCAGATTTTGTATTATATTTCAAAAAACCGTGAGGACAAGGAATGTACATAATAATTTAAATGTAACACGTTTCTTTAAAATACCTTTTAAAATCTCATTTTCCTTAAAAATTTAAATAAATAATAAGTACTGAAAAATAAATAAATTTATAAAATACATTTATATTTAATAAATGTTAATTGAATAAATAAAAAAGCACTCAAAATATCTATACTAATGAAACAGTTATTATTACGATATATTTTTCATTTCATTTTTTAACATTTGAAAAATATTTTTGGTTAAAAAAATATTTTCGTAATTATTTAAGATGGTTTTTATGACAATATAAGTTACCGAAATAACATTTTAGTGTGACTAAATAATTTTAAAACTAGTTCTGACTTAAGTTTTTGGAATTTCCAAGTCTACTTTTAAAATAAGAATAATTATAATTTAAAAATACAAGAATAAGATAATTATTGATGTATTCTAGGGAACACGGGAAATTGACATGCACTAAAGGAAAAACTAATACTGATAACTGAAATTTATTCGTACAGTCTCTAACCTAAATTAGTCATTACTTTTAGTTAAAAAAGTTTTCAAATTAAAGGAGATTAAAAACTTTAAATTTTATATCCCGTTTTTACTTTTTTAATTTTTAATAAAATAATTGCAATAATGTTATTAAATATTGTACACATAATGATATTTTTTTTTATCCAATAACTTAAGTTTAAAAACCACTAGTTATCATGATATTGGCATATACAACATTAACTCGTGCGCACCATTATCTAGTATTCCTCTATTTATTTTACATTTTTTGAAACACTAATTAAAGGTTAAAAAACTTATGTACAGAAATGGTTTCATCTATTATCCTTCTTTTGACTTCCTCAGACACAGGTAAAACTACACAAAAATTCATATCCCTTACGAAATTAGTCGAAGCGTTATAACACATGTAAAAATTTCTTCTTCAACTCATTAATTGAAAATGTTCTGGAAAGTTTTAACCTATATCAATAAAAGTTCTTTAAAGTGTACTACAATAAAAATATATATACTAAGGACAACCCAGGATAATCGGGTTGGGGAACGGTGGGGAAAGTATAGATAATATCTTATAAAATTAAAATCACTATCATAAATCAGTAGATAGTGTTTTATTTTTAGAAGGAATTATTCTAAAACATTAATTAATATCTATTTCCTTATTAATATTCAGATTAGAAGTTAAATGATTTATAAGTATAATACATGAATAGTAATTAAAGTAATAAGTAGTTATTACTAATAGTAATTAAATTCAGTAAGAAATTAATTTTGAATAATTTAGTATTGTAATTTTTGCAAAAAGAAATTATAAAATTTATAAAGTTGTTGTATTCAAGGTCATTTTTTTAATATTAGCAACTTGGTTACTCTTAACTTAATAATTATATTAAAACAATTATTTTTGGTAATTACTGGTCGATAACTTTTGGACCAGAATTTTAGAAGTTATTAACAATATAGATTATTAGAGTTGAAAAGAAGTGCTGCTATTATCACTACTAATTTCTTGGCTGTACTCTTCCTCCCGGTGTTAGGGGCTTATTTAATAGTTGAGGATCTTGGTCAAAACCAAGAATCGGAAGCTACCCGACATCTGCCCAAATGTCATCTCTATCTCCTTAAATGAGTTCTAATTACCTAGAGGAGACACAGGCAATCGTGTACGTTAGTTACAGGGGATAGATTATTAAATAAAATTGAACTATTGTTTTATGTCAACGACAAAGTAAAGTGATATTTTAGATGTTCAGTAAATATAAGTTATATGTAATGTACAATACGTCTGACCTGAATCCTAGTACAGTCGGTTAGTAGGTATATCCAAGTGAGACGGAGTTGGTTGGCTATGATGTCAATTGACGATAGACAGGTCGTTGAATAAAACAAGTTAAATTATAAATAATATAAATAAGACAAAAGTAATAGTATTGAAAACTATGTCTACAACGGCCACTCAAACACAACTGCCCTTTGTTAGTTCGACTTCAGTAGCTCCGGGTTACAGACGAGTAGGATTGTCACATCAGTGTCTTCCTCTATGCTAATTAATATGTATTACGAATTAAGTAAATGGAAATAAAACGTGTGTAATATAAGTGGTAAGAACATAGTAATAAATGTTCTTACACCGACTAGGTATATAAATAATATCTACCAAAGTACTGGTTCAAAAGTTGTTATCGACCAGACATTTTCTTAATTTAATAATTCTCTATTTTATAAGTTAGTTATCATTTAACAAAATAATGTTAACTTCTTTGTAAGATATAAAGAACCATTTAAAAAAAAACTTAAAAATTAATAAATCTAGAAATATATAAAATTTAAAAATACCAGAAAGAATTTTTTTATTATGATTTTTATTTTAAGAGAAAAAGGATGAAAAAAAGTAGTTTTTTTTTAAAAAATAAAAAGGAAGCAGTCCCCTTCTTTTTAATACACATATTGGATTAACAATGAAAGTTCCAAAAATTCTCCCTCAAAATATTAATAACTAACACTTAAATAATATTTAAATTTTTTTTTGTAAAAGGTGAGTTATGCGTCGTAATTAACTCCTCCTTCTTATAGTACTATTCTGTTTGACGAAAGTTAGACTAATTTATTAAAAAAAAACACATCATAGTAAAATAAATTCTTTCACGTGTTCGCATCCATGCTATCAATACTTGAAATTTTATTTTTGATAAAAAAAAAAACAAATTAAACGCCTTGCACAACGGCATCGATTTGATCTATAAAAACTTATTTTTAAAAGATTTTCTTAACTTTTACTCTATAAAGGTCATTAAGGCGAATTAAAACCACTGTAATAAAAATAATTTTTAAAAAATGAGAAATTTTATACATTTTGAACAAACTATTTAAAAAATTTTTTTTTTTAAATAATTATAATCTAGATGTTAAAAATTGATTTTAGGCTTAACAATATAAGGAAAATTATTCTCTCATTAACTCTTAGCTATTATAACAGGTAAGAATCAATTTTTGTAGTGAACACAGCAATATTTTTAGATAAAAAGTTTTTAATATACTAAATTCGATTTTTAATTAATTAGTTATAAAATATTAACTTAATTTTTCATCTCTATTTTTGTATAAATTATATTAAATACTTTCTTTTAGTAAAATTTTTAATCATTTAAAGAAAATAAAATGTGACTGGTAATAAAACCCATAAAATTGTATTTAACCATGACATGATGATCGATGTTGTTAACCAATTCCATGTATTTATAATGTCATTTCGAGGATTTGGTCTATGTTGTCTGATCAGTTCGAGGGTCGCTTCATGTGAGGGTGGTTGAAGGTAATCCAAAAAATCATAAATCGTTTCACACGATAATCTGTTTGATATCAAATCTACCATTTTTCCAGTTGGCTAAAACAGAAAAACATTATATTAAGAAAACAACATTTGTCACAATACCGAATATTTTGCAATACATTTAATACACTGACACTCTCTTTGTCTGATTAGCCGCCTTATTATATCGCAAAACCAACCTGATTAGAGCTTCGCCCCGTTTAACGAAATTGCACAGTCTATCTATTGGACTACCGAGTACCTGCAGTGAACTCACTCTCCGGTTTCTGATGTCTGACATCTTACGCCTTCTTTCTAATATCCGAGAGTTATTATGTACATTATACAAAAATGTAAACATTTGTATTTTGAAATTTTTTGTTAGTGTCGCTACCTTTGTTATCAGCGGTAGGCTATTGTTATTTTTTTATGTAAATATAGTTTTGACCCATATAGTTTTAACGTTAACTGTGTTAATTTATTTAAATGGTAGTGTTCTTCATATCTTTTGACACGTATAGTAATGACATGTCACATTTCAGTATAAGATCGCTAGGTTGGTAGGCTGAAAATTACAGAGCCACCAGATATCATACGAATTTTTTTATTCAATTAGTGATTAGATTTCAAGGTTTTCATTTTAACTAGTATGAATAGATATCGCCAATCGGAAAGTATAGTAACACAACTCAAATATTTTAATTTTTCTGATATTTGGGCAAATATAATGACCGACCCTAAGTAGTTGGGATTAAGTCGAAGAAAAAGAAGAAGATTTTGACAAATATAAATAAAAACACTAAATTTTAAACTAGAAAAATTTCATTATAGGTATAATATATTTCACCGGAGAATATTATGATAATTTAATTTGTTATTGATTAGTTAACATTTATTTAATCTGTTTTGTAAAATTAATTTTTTTCGAGTATTGTCTGTAAATTGCTGATAGGTATTGGTGATCTTTACAAAATTCAATATCAACCCGATACAATTAAATTTCACTGCTTTTAACGAAAAATAATATTAATTATTGTGTTTATATAACTTTAATGATATACACAGAATTTTATTCCTGAATAGGCGGTTAAGAAAATTATAGCCTTCACCACAATTTAAATATACTGTTTATGCAACACATACATTTTTAAGAGAGAGGGCTAATAAATCCTCCATTATCACCTACATAAGTACATTAAGAGAGTATTAGGATGGTTCAACTTTTAATTTGGAATTTTAATTGTCCACAAAGTTGCTTTTGTTTATAAACATTTTACAAGGTTTTTTTGCATTTTTGGTGAATTACTACTTGAGTAATCAATTTTTGTTTAGAATCCTCTTTTTATCAAAGTTAATAACAATAAATAATCGAAAAATAGTTACCAGTAAAAAGCTATTAACTCGATGTACATATTGTTGACAAGTCGAAATATATCCATTTGTTAATATAATTGATGCTATCATTGTGTTTACAGCCATCAAAATCGAAAAAATGACTAACCCTATCTTGGATTTCGATACCTGTGAACTAAAATAACGGCATTAGATTCATTTAATTAATAAAACATTTGTCTCTTAAACATAAAGTCACTGTTTTATGATTCATTGAATTTATTAGATATTTCAGTGGTATAAAAAAACTGTCTATGTAATTTCTTGTAACTTAAATTGTATTAAGATTATTGATTCTGAAGAAAGGTTAAAATTTTCAGATTCAAAATCAAGTCCGTCTAGAAGCTTAGCTAACCTTTTTCTAGTGATGTCATCATCAGTCATAGTCGGAGCTTGATCGTAAGACCGCCGTCGTTGACGTGCCGTACCAACCGAACATAAGATACCCAGTCCATAAGCAATGCATGCTAAGGCCGCAAAACTCGCGGATACGGTCAATGAGTACCACACATATCGGCAACGATACAGTTGGCCTCCGACAAAAACCCCACCGGCAAAACTGGTACCAAATAATATACACTTACAATCGTGCACGGCACAGTCTGCATCGAATTCAAAGTACCAATATGACCAGACAACTAAAAAACACACTGAGGCTAAAACGGCTGTACTGAAAACCGAAGAACACAGACCTAACTTAATGGCCGCGACGGTTTTCATTTTGACCGCTGTGTTAATTAATTATTGGACGGCAGCGACCGAATAGCGACACTACTACCGTCCATACTGTCGTTAGCTGTTCGATTATGTGACTAGATTGTTTTGAACTTCTCTAACTTATTAAAATAATCGTATTTACCTGTTGTGTACAAACGTTGTATTTAGATAACGTGCGTGAGACAACAAAATTCATTACTACGATATTATTATTTCTTATCTTTGAACAATTCAAGCAACCATTGATGTCACAAACTTATTAATACTGTACAAATATTGCATAACGAATAAACATGAACTCAAGTTATCCAAAGTGTTAAGTAGTATCTGTGTGACTCATAGTTTCTATTGCCCTATTCGATTCAGCAGATTATTACTTGTACAAAAGTAGTGTTACATTAAACTATTTATATAAAGATTACAAATTGAATTAAATATTATAGATTTAATTACCAAGATATATGTTCCATATGTTTTTTTTATGTACTTTCTATTTATATATTTTAAAAATTCATAAATTACTTAACTTTTTAGATTAGTAAAAATAATGCAATATATTTTTAAGATATTTGTCAATTTAACCCGAGATGCAGAAATATTTATAATAAAACAACGATATTAAAATGGATAAAGAGGTTTGTTTATAACAAAAAAACTGTGTACGGTTTTAGCACACATATTGCATAGCACATAACCGACCGATTCGAAACTATCAAATATTTTATGCTTGTAAAATGGATAAAAAAAGGGTATACAATTTTATACTTTGAATATAAAATAAATTATACATGAGTAAATATAGTAAATATAAAGTTTAAACTAACTAAAAATCCAAAAACACCGTAAGACATTTATACTGATGCATACAATTTTGAAACTATGTTCGTGTTACAGAGCACCCATCAATTTTAAAAACATCGTCATTTTTAATTAAGGAAACATACGTTATTTGAGAGTAAGGGCAGAGCGAAGTTTGCCGAGAGATTTCCATAAAACTTTATGTGACCACTGCTGTTGATACTGTTACTTGAGTGTATTATTCGTTTATTTTAATCTTATCAGTCATGGTTCTTAAGAATATACATAGCCCATTTTTATAAATGCATTTATAACGGCCATTACTTGAGGGAGAAAGAGAAAGTTGTATGCCTATGATTGGACCGACAAATAATAAGGGGAAAAAATTGAAATCCACCCTCGCCGCTTAGTGTATGATTTATGAAGAAAATCGTATAATCCATGAGGATCAAGAGCTGCGCATCTGATATCCGTAAAAATATATACAATAAAAACAGTGACTCAAGTAGGATATTCATCGGTCGAGCGCAGTTTGTTTTGACGTGTCCCTGGGGGAGAAATAGAAAAAACAATAGAAAATTATAATAATAATAATGGCCTAAACGCGTTAAATAAACGCAAGACATATCGTTTTATGCGTTCCCCTTCCAAATGATAGGTATTCTGTTACCATGTTATCCGATTGGTCTGAAACGAATTGCACCCCATCATGGTTGCAGTAATTGTTGTATATTTAATTTGTGTACTCGTTCTTATAGCAATAAACTATTCTATACATAATGCAAATTAATCGTTTCACCCACCCGCAATGTTTTGATAACTATATAAATTAAGACTAATTTTATATACGAATAAAAAAAAAAAGTACATTTTTACTCAATGTTAAAAGGTTTATTCGAATTTTTGAAATTCTAAACCGATAAAATATTATCATTTAAAAAATTTCCTTGGATACCTTTTCTAATTATTGCCAATTATCTAGTATAACATTAATTATTTACGTCAAAAAACATTTTTTTTTTTTTAATTGTATTATAAATATATCATAAATATCACCTTAACACAATTACAAATGGTGTTCTGATGTAATTTTGTATTTTCATCATGGATCGTTAATTTATTAGTAAAAAAGATGAATTTTTATTTAATAGAAGTTTGGTGTTATGTTTAATTTGATTTAAAACTATAATAAATAAAAGATATTAAGGTTATTTTTATAATAATCTAATTTACATGTAGCAAATGTCAAGTTACCAACACAAACAGTTTATGTTATGCAGAAATTATTAAAGGTATAATATGAAATATCTACATTAAAATAAGTTACAAAGACATCAGTCTATTTTAAAAATTATAAATAAATATGACAAATTTATTGACTATAATGGATAGAAATATTGCATAAAATATTAATTTTTAAATTATAAATTAATATTTTTACTCTTTTTAAAAACACAATTGTGCAGAGATATTTTTATCAATTTATTTAAATTATATAATATTAGTATCATTCATAATAATACAAATTAACGATACCATTATTACATCTAATGCACTAGATAGAAAATTTCATATGAAATTTCAAAAGAAATTATCGTATTCTACAAGAATTCCTATTGGAATAACCTTATAAATCATCACCTTAATGGGCATAGATTATACGGAATTTATATTAGTGATGGGTTTACCTCATATTATTCCAAGATTATAAACTTCTTTTTTTACCATAGCTTATAATCTTGTTTGTATACGATTACTGAATAAACTACGACTTGTTATAATTTTTTTATTCATTGTTAAACCCATTGACATCTTTACCTTAATGTATATTATTTGATACCCATGTTTTGATAAATGCTCCTAATATCTAATCTATTTATAGATATTCATTGATAATTATATTATTAAAACGACTATCAACAAAATTTTCATTATTATTGTTGTATTACCGTGTAAACTGTTTAATGTAATGTTATCTTTGTGTTTATTGCGCCTCGGAGGTCTTTGACTAATCGTTTGGGATGGACCTTTTTCATGACTGCACGATTAGTAACAATAGGAACACATGCAATCACGTAAACGATGGCTTTCTTTTATATAATTTTTGTTGGTTTTTATTGCTCTTAGATGTCATAATATGAAAAATGTTAGTGTAAATAGTACAATGTTTATCTTCTCATAATAATTTTAGATATACAGAGTGTTCAGTAAGTCAGGAAATCCTGTATATTGATTGTAATGTAATAATCGTAATTATTAAGAAAGATTTGAGTGCACATAATTTTGGAAAATATGAGATTTTTAAAATTTATATCTATAGTGTAGTGGTTTATTAAGAATACAACTACCAAATTTTTGGTAAAATAATGATTTATTTCATAAAAATAAATTAAATTTTAGTCCGTATATTTTTATGAACGATAGAAATATCAAGTTTAATGTGTGTATATGTAAATATTTTAATCAAAACAACAATCGACGGAAGCTATAACACATTCATAGGATTCATCTAGTTAACAAGCCATAAAAGGTGTAGGAGAAACCGGGTTCAGCTGTTATATTTTTTTTATATTTGTAGGCTTATTTCGTAAAATAATTATGATTCAAAATAATATTTTTTTCTTTTATAATACAATTTTATGCTCATTGTAATAACCACGTAATTAAAAAAAAGTATTTATATCATGTTTAGTTGTGAAACTATATTTGTATGTAACTGTCACCACTTTTTCTCAGTTCTCACTGGACCAATTTTACTGAACGATATATCAAAAGATCAATAGCCGTCGAAAACACTACTTTTGAAAATTGAAAAAATTACATCTTTCCCTGTAAATGATAGAAGGAAAACTTAAAAAAAATACGATTTTTAAAATATTAAAAAATGATATACAGAGTGGCCCACCACTCACTGACAACTTAAATAACTTTTGATTCAGTTAATATTTTTAGTTGATTTTTTTTTTTAATAATAGTTATACGTTAGGTCTATAGCTATATCTCAATAATTAATATTTTTACATTTTATTTAAAATTTAAAAATAATTAATATTTTTAATAAAATGTAAAAAAATTAATTATTGAGATATAGCTATAGACCTAACGTATAACTATTATTAAAAAAAAAAATCAACTAAAAATATTAACTGAATCAAAAGTTATTTAAGTTGTCAGTGAGTGGTGGGCCACTCTGTATAATAATGTACTATGTATAATGACTATTAACCTATTACATATTATCTAAAAACTCATCACAGGGGGGTCGCGGCACAGTGGTGACGTGGCATAGATGGATCAAGTATAATAATATCTCACAGTGATTAAAATCATTATCAAAAAAAAACGCTTCGATGCAAATCTTTAGATAGTGTTTAATTTTAAAAAATTGCTGTATTATTCCAAAAGCTACATGATCTGCTAGTTCCTTATTAATATCCTGATTAAGATAAAGTATGTCAAATGAAAAAGAGATTATTAAAAAAAATTATTTCTCATAAAAAATTGTATTGATCCATATATTTTTCAAAAAGTTATAGCACTTTAAAGTAAAAAATGTAAATTATAAAATCAAGAATTTTTACACAAAAATAGCATTAGGTAGCCGTTTTCACCATGAAGACAAGTCCAGAGGTCAATTTTTTTTTTTTTAAATTAAAGTATATTACATAAGCTTCAATTTAAGATATATTTAAAAGTGTCAGACCTTCCGAAACATTTTCAAAAGTTAGGTTGTAAAAGTTAATTTTTTGTGAAAAAGTTGTCATTTTAAAACCTCTCCTGTGGGCAGATAAAGGGTCAAATTTACAAAAAAAATATACCAAATGTTAGGTAAAGACATCAAGCATCTATAAAAAAAAATTATATTGATATGTTCATTTTTAAAAAAGTTACGGTAGTTTTTAGTAAAAAAAATTGAAAATATTTCGAAAATTAGCGATTTTTAAATTTGTAATTTTTTTGGAGGTTTCCCCCATTTATGGGGAACGAGAGAAATTTTTTCAATTTTTAAGGGTAATGTCTTCGACTAGATACAATTTGTGATCTTTTGACGTATCGTTGAAAGAAATCCGTTCGGTGGGAGCTGAGAAAAAGTGGTAACAGACACACAAAAAAAAAAATAAATAAATAAATAATCACATCTTAGTAAAACCAATACCTTCTCAGCTTCGCATCGAAGCTAAAAATTGCCGTCGCTAGGTTCTGATGGCCTCTGTGACTCTTGACCCAAAACCTCCACATAGTGAAAAAATATTATTACATTAATGAAAACCCAAAAATGTGATAGCTGCTGCTTCAATAATAATTAAAGAAAGACCTAGATAACAACAGAAAATGTGTCTTTTCATTTATAAATCTAATGGCCTCTATTATAACTTCATAGAAACATTTTGAAAGTATTTTACGTTTACGTTACATTTTACCCCTTGTTACATTTAAACCCAGTTTTCACTAGTCAGAGTACAAAAAAAGGATATTTTATATAGTATTTTTAAATATTCTAAAGTATATAAAATTATCGATCTTACATACTGAACAGTATCTTTGTGAACATTTTGATAATAGATATCACCTATCATCATGCACTTTGTATTGTATAACAAAGAATTTTATAAATTCTAAGTAATTCTAGTAATTCTTCTCAATGATGACTGTATTATCTTAAGAATGAGTGTTAGTAAAAATTTCTATCATAGAAGTTTATATCCTTAAGTGTATTTTTAAAACAATAATAATGGAATTGAGAATATTTGTTGTTTTGAATATAAAATAGAGTAGCCATTATAATAAAATATTCTAACAAAAAAATGTTGATTATTTTTATAATTATTGTTTTATTGTCCTGTTTGCTGTGAATAAAACATGAAGACCCTTTCTAGTAAACACATATTAGCAGTGCATTAGTTAACCAATGATTAATGTGTTATAATATCTTAGGTTTATCTATCATCGCCAAGTAAGTATACCGCACACGATTAAGGCCTTTTGACACAATATTTCATATATAAACTCCACAGCCGACACCTCCTCTTAAGTCTGTATATCACTTTAACGTGCCAGCAGTCACATTGTCGGCAATGACAACAATAATTATTACGATTAAGTATGTGCCGGTTACCATAGTTTTTTATTTACCATCGACGCCTAACGACAAACCTCAGTTGTTGCGTCAAAATACACACAACATAATAATATATTATAATAATAATTCCACATTATTTTACACAAGAGAGAAATGTGTATCTTAACAGTTTACTGCAGTCAGTTCGGAAATCCACCTCGTATAGATTATTATACAGTACAGTATCGCAGTAGGTGGCCGTTAACGGCGACCACCGGCTTCACGCGTCTTAAATCATCTTCTACCGTCGTATGTAATAAAATAAATATCAGAGTAGTTGTATATTTTTATTAATAAAATATAGTATACACACATACGGGTATACATTTTACATTACGTTAAAGAAAAAAATAGGACGGGCGGGTTTATCGACTTCAGACAGCGCAGCTCACGACGAAAAATGGTATCGTCTTGTTGTAGGTACTATTAACTAATAAAGAAACCCACCCACGGTGCACCTTCCATGCAGAGAGTTTTCATTAGCGCGAAAAAAGGATATTAGGTTCATTATAATTGTGATTTATGAATTGTAATCGTATGTGATCAGAATTATGTTAGTAAACACACATCATATCAATAAAATTACAGGTAGTCACTGAAGAAATAAAAATTCATTTCTCATTTTACAAATTTCATCGTTAAATATTTATTAGATTACAAAACTATGTCATAGATATTTACGATGTTGTAATTGTTTTAGTGTTGTAAAATTTCAATGTTAAAAATTGTAATGTTGTATAATTTATTACTCGGAATAATTGCCAGAAATTTCTTCAAAAATGTCCAGAACTTTCTAAAAAGTTAAACCTTTTCTTTATTTAATCATTTCTAAATTAAATTTTAAATAACTGAATAACTTTCAAGCATATCAAGGTACAAAACTTAACGGCTAATACTATTAGCCGTATAGTATAATACCTAACAACACATTCGTAGAGTAACTAATCAATTAATAAACAATAGTCAAATGATTATTCAAATGATTTTCGGAGATTCTTATATAGAAAATAAAGACAATTAATTTTATATATTGTAGCTTATTTGTTCAACGTTATTGTGTTAGTTAGAAATGAATAGTGCAGTTACTATGGTCGTTTTAATTTCTACAACCATCCGCCGGATCATAGGTGAGCCCAGTAAGTAATTTTTGGGTCTATCACTTAACAGTTAAACAATCCATAAATTCTAAATAAATATTACTTTGATATGAAATTGCATTTGTTTTCCGTAGTAATGTGTTCTCCTGTGGATTCTATCGATTCGGCAATAGTTAACTTGCCAGCTGAAGGCGAAGGAAACTATCGTGACCCAACGGATATATTAGGTACCGATTTTTTATTAACTATACAGGGTGTTCAGTAACCCGTTTCCTGACTTACTGAACACCCTGTATAATTACAAAGGCCTCGTTGTTAACTTACATTGCATATTAAACAATTACTCAGAATTCGTATGCTTCGAAGAAATTATTATTCTTGTATAATCATGTTTGTGAAAATTCGCAGGTACCAAGTTTACAGCAGACAATACCGTTCATTTGTGCGATACGCAGCTGTTCATGTATGCTGAAGAGCTTACAAAAGTCAAGTTTACATCTCGCGGGACGAAGCTTTGTAACGACGTATGCGTTCAATACCGAAAAAACATGGAGTTCCATGGTGACATTGAGATTCAGTTGATACAGAGTTACTGTAGTTACATCGGTTCGGAAGATAGCAATGAAAAAATTGGATTGGAGAAGACTTGCGCATGTCCGTACAATGTTCGGTGCAAACAGCGAGCTGAAGTGATAACATACACTTTCCAGTCAAACTGCGCTGGGTTTTTACGAGTAGCAGTGTTTGAAAGCAAATTTCACCGGTTTGTCACCTGATCGCGTGAAAAAACAATTGAACTGTTAAAATATTATTTGTTTAATTTACTCAATTGATCAACGCCGACGGTTTTCTCTTCGACTAAAAGTGTACCTATGCTTATTGCACTTTAAAGTTTTAGATACCTAAAATAATTTGGAGTGGTTATATTCTATTTTAATATTACATTTTGGATTCTATAATTACATCAAGAAAGTTAAGGTTTTTATCTTTACAACCGAATAGTTTTAAATACAAGAACACAAAAGTTTATATGTTTATTAATTAATCGTTGATAGTTTTTTTATCGAAACTTCATAAAATTTTAAATTATACAGTATAAGTTTATTTTGAAATTGTTCACATAGAAAGAATTGTTTTCTATTTACATTGTTTTGTTAAATAGAAGTATTTTACTTTTTGTACTGAGATTACAATTGTATTATTTATAAAATTTTAAATAATAGATCTGAAGTATCTAGAACTGATGGGGTCAAAGTGACATTCTGAGAATATATAAAGTATAATTGAGTAGTCAAATAACTACTCTTTTGAGTAGATTAAACGTAACAGTGAATTTTTTTAATCCAAGTGTTATTTATCACTGATTTCTTAATTTTTAAATTAAATTCGAAATCAAATTTTTGTCACTTAAACACCTTTAATTCTCGTGGTGTCTTATATGTTCTAATATCTTATTATATAACATAACAAGGAAAAAAATTCTTTTTGGGATGATTACTTAGCGTGTTCCGCTTTTCAAAATTTTTTTTTTTAACGAAAGTACTCGGTCACGAGATTCCGGGAAAATTATTTATGAACATTTTTGCTACTCACCCGTGTGAATTTGTAAAAAATGGATTTTTAACTCAATTTTTCTCTTTAATTCATATTTAATACATGTTATAGTTTTCATATATGAATTGATTGGGTTAGGCATTAACTATCTTTTAGTTTTGATATTATGTTTGTTATTTTTATAAATTATGTTTAGTTTATTTAAGTATAGAGATACTTTCTGTCGATTTCTTTCAACTATGTATATAATACAAAATTTTTTGATATATTTTATCAAGTTTATTGTTGTAAGTATCTTTTATTTTAACTTTGGCTTTATGATTATAAAGCCAAAGTTATGATTATTAGCTTCCTTTTCAAATGTATGAATGGATTGGACATGTATTGAGACATGGTGGGTTGCTAGGATTGATTATAGAAGGCTGCGTGGAAGGAAAAAATGCTAGGGGAAGACCACGAATGGAATATATGCAACAAATAATAGAGGACCAAGGATGTACTTCTTATGAAGAGACAAAAAGGAAAGCAAGTAACAGGGAAGAGTGGAGAATTGCTACAAACCAATCTCAGGATTGAATACTGAAGAAGAATTTCAAATGTACTTTTTTAGCTTTGAACTTATTTTTTTTAGGTATACAAAGAGTTTATATTAAGATATGATTTTTCATTTGCAATATATTTTTTATATTTTATTTAGGAATGTTTGATGAATTATACATAAATTTTAGGACGGTTATAAGTATATAATATTGTATATTCAATATCAGAATAGTACAGTATTATTAATCGTATTTATCTCATATAAGTCAATGATTTTATCGTAAAAATTGGAATCCATCTATGACAGCTAAGTTGTCCTACGTCAAATCACTTGTAACTGTTTTATAATATTATTATAATACAATTATTATAATTAGAATATTAATAATGATTGTGTATACCAGGGGCGTATTTTAGGGGGATATGGACAATTGCTCCTCTTAAACTAGCTGTATCAATAATTTTTTAGGTAAATGCTGAGAAATATAGACATAATGACCCTTTTAGCTTCGATGCGAAGCTGAGATTTACTATGATATGTTTTTTTTTTTTGTGTCTGTTACTACTTTTTCTCAGCTCTCAACGAACGGATTTCTTTCAACGATACGTCAAAAGATCACAAATCGTATCTAGTCGAAGACATTACCTTTAAAAATTGAAAAAATTTCCCTCGTTCCCCCTAAATGGAGGAAACCTCCAAAAAAATTACAAATTTAAAAATCGCTAATTTTCGAAATTTTTTTAATTTTTTTTACTAAAAACTGCCGTAACTTTTTCAAAAATGAACATGTCAATATAATTTTTTTTTTATAGATGCTTGATGTCTTTACCTATCATTTAGTAAATTTTTTTTGTAAATTTGACCCTTTATCTGCCCACAGGGGGGATTTAAAATGACAACTTTTTCACAAAAAATTAACTTTTTCAACTTAACTTTTGAAAGTGTTCCGGAAGGTCTGACAATTTTATATATATCTTAAATTAAAGCTAATGTAATGTACTTTAATTTGAAAAAAAAAAAATTGACCTCTGGACTTGTCTTCATGGTGAAAACGGCTACCAAATGCTTTTTTTATGTGAAAATTCTCGATTTTATAATTTACATTTTTTAATTTAAAGTGCTATAACTTTTTGAAAAATATATGGATCAATACAATTTTTTATGAGAAATAATATTTTTTATTTATCTCTTTTTCATTTGACATACTTTATCTTAATCGAGATATTAATAAGGAACCAGCAGATCATGTAGCTTTTGGAATAATACACCAATTTTTTAAAATTAAACACTACCTAAAGATTTACATCGAAGCGTTTTTTTTTTTGATAGTGATTTTAATCACTGTCAGATATTATTATACTTGATCCAACTATGCCAAATCACCACTGTGCTGCGACCCCCCTGTGCTGGGTTTTTTTTTATAAATACTTTGATCTAAAATAAATTCCATAACATATCTACTTAAGTAAAACAAGTTAATTACCTTCCTAAAATAATATCTAAATATACCCAAGGGGAATATCTTATAACAAACGCGAACTTTATTCCAAATACATTTTACTCTCTCATATTCTCTTTTTAAATTTTCCTGATTTTAATAATAAAATTTATAATATATTTTTTATACTGATTCTAGTGTTTGATATTTTTCTTGCAAAGGACTTATCGTGTCCTGCATAGCCGAGTACTCCTACCGGAATCAGTGGCCTACTTGCGAAAATGACTTAAAGAAATTTACCGCCGAAGACGTGTGAGGCTAGTAGGGTCACAGTTAGGCGAAGTCTTGTATTATTGACATAATATCTTATAAAAATAGCAATTAATTAACAAATATTATCTACTTGAAAAAAACAGTTTATTAGCATTAGTAATTATCAAGATTATTGTAATAAATGGTTTATAAGAGTAGATATTAGGAGTAACTTTTGAAAGTTAAACACGAAAATATTATAATTTTTTTGACGTTTTTTTTACTTTTTTTTCTTAAAACTACCAAACTTAAAACTTTTTCAAAAATTAACAAATTAACAAAACTTTTGTTATATTGAAACCTTAGATATTTTTTTTTCATTCGATAAAATTTATTTGAAAATATAACACTTTACCTGCTCACAGGGGAAGATTTAAAATAGCAACTTTTTTACAAAAACTAGCTTTTTCAACTTAACTTATAAAAATATTCCGGAAATACTGCGTCCTTTAAACATATGTCAAATTAAAGCTTATAATAAATACTATAAGTTCAAAAAAAAAAACAAATTTGTCCCTACTACATTTCTTCTATAGGAAAATGGCCGTCGAATTTAATGAAACTTATATATTTTATGTAAAAATCATTGTTTAACATGAAATATTTTAATACTTATTACTGTCATAACTTTTTGAAAAATGAACAAATTAAAATAACTTTTTTTCTATATTGAAATCTTAGATATTTCCCTTTCATTTGAAACAATTTTTTTGAAAATCTGGCTCTAAACCTGTCCGCTGGGGGAATTCAACAAAAAAATTTTTACACACAAGTGAAGCTTTTTTAATTTTTGAAATTGTTCCGGTAATATTGACACTTTTATTTAATATTAAATTAAAGCTTATATTATTACTTCGAATAAAGTTCATAAGACATAAGAAGTTAAACTTATTTAAATTTTTTTGCTTTTTTAAAGTCAAAAAAGTAACTTTAAAATTTGAATTAGCTTAAATTGCCAATTTTATTAATAGGCGAAAGCGACGAACAGTTGCCGAAACGGTAACCCTTGTGTCTTTTACGGTTAGGGTACCAGGATCGAATCCGCCAGTGGCAATTAATATTTTGTATTTTTAAGTTAAAAAATGTTCAAATAATTTAATTTTTATATCATTTATTGAAGTAAATGAATAACTTCAATAAATATCAAGGATCCCATGATGTGTGTTTGTGGGGGCGCCTCACTTGCGCCTCCTCCGGCGCCTCACTTATAATCTCCCCGGCGCCTCACTTATAAT